AAGCATATTTCAACACATGCTTAATTTTTTGTCCAGAAGATATTAAAAATCAGTATCTCGCTTTCTGATTTAGTTTCTTTTAACAGACTTGACAGTATTACCAGGTGAGGCAAACACCACCATTCTGTGCTAGCAATCAAATACTCCAGTTACAATGATGTGCTACCACGATGCTGGAAAATACTAATGGTATAGAATGAGGAAAAAATATTTACCATTAATGCTGTTCTCTTCGGTAGTGTCTTTTTACTGACCTGTGATTCCGTCAAAGCAGCGTGGTGAGCACTGATGTAAATTAGGAAGTAATTTACATATGCAAATGTTGTAATAATGTAAATTAAGGAGGAGGGATTCAGTTCAGTCAAGCTTTTCACTCCTTGTCTGATGATGACCAGGATACTTAAAAGTCTCCTGGCTAAAAATTAGTGGGGTTTTCTGTTTTAAAGTGATTAAAAAAATTATAAATGGCATATTCCATGCAGGGACAAAGTAGTATTAGTAATAATGATTTATTCATTACATCTGTTTTGACATCTGGTAGCAAAGACAGCAGAACAGCTTGTCATCAATGAATGTCTTCCCAGCCTGGCAGAAAACAAAACACATTGTTGTCATTAGCTGATATTTTTACAATACCTAAAGTGTACTCACACTTAAAAGCTGCTGCCTTTTGTTATAACATAGTAAGTACACCTGCACAGAAGCTGGTAAGTCTTTGGCAGGTATGAATAATAACCTTAAAACCATTTCGAATCGGTGTAAATCCCGTAGCTATATGCCCGATGTTTGTTTCCTCATTAGCAGAGATGATTTGAAAGGCAGATGTTCTTCTTCTTGAAAATCTTCTGAGATACACCATTAAACTCCCATATTGTTTGTACCTACAGATGAAATTAGAACTTCCTCCTATTGTCTTTGTCGTATGTCCCATCGTCCCTAACTGACGCATATTGTATAGTTACTCATTTCAAACAAGGCTATGGCGTTCGCAAGATGAAACTGTTTCTAAAACTAAAAAATGGCCAAAATCCAAAGATTATTATCACCTCATCCATTCCTTGCGATATTGCATGAGAGAATTTTCCATATCACAGGCACACTTTCCGTGGTCTTTTCTTTGATTTCACGCTAGCAAGAGATGTTATTGTGGCACTTTGTTATGACTGAGACTAACTTGTAAATTGTCTTTAAAGTATTTTTTTAGAAAAGGGAATTGTATTCAATGGCTATGATTTGATTTGAACGATTTTAAGTGTAATTAGGGCTGGAAATCTTATATATTATTGTGATCATTGTATTTTGTACTGAAGGGAAATAGCTTTCTTTTGAACCACAGAATAAATCTCTGGAGTGTATTGCCATAGAATATAGTACACTGTTTTTCTCAAAAAAAGATTAGACATTTATGTATAAATTAATGTTTGCAATTACATTGTATCTACAGGATAAAAATGATCACAGTTACCCCCTTTATTTTTTAGGTCATTAACCAATCACTAATTCAATAATTCCTGGAGTCTGGGGAGAAAGAACTTGGTTTAGGCAGATATTACTCGATAATTATCAATAATGCAATTTGACAGATTTTTTTCTTTGGTGTCAAAAAATAGAAGAAGGGACCATGCAACAGTATTATAAATGTGTACACCTAGAGTCTTTTTCTTTTTTTCTTTTTTTTTCTTCTTTTCATGGACAATATAGTGTATAGATAGCCTTCAGTTTGTTGGTGTATTCCAAGTATTGATGATAGGAATAACAAATCCATGCGTTTATCAGAACGTCTTATCTGAGTACTGGAAGAGGTTGCCCAGGCAGGTTGTGGAGTGTACCTCCTTAGATATATTCAAAAATCATCTAGACAAGGTCCTTGGCAACTGGCTCCAGGTGGCCCTGCTTGAGATGGGGTTTGGATAAGGTCCCTTCCAACCTCAACCATTCTGTGACTCTGTAATTCTGTAAGACAAGTAGTCCAGTAGCTCTAATTTCCAAAGTTCTAACTAGTGGTGACAATGGCTTCTTTTCTGCTCTACAGTCTAGCTCTAACAAACTTTTACTTTGCACAAGTTTAGTTGATATATACACTTTTTTTCTTTTTCCATGCAAAAAAGTCATCTTGAAAGGATTCCAAAATGTAGAGCTGTACTTATGGTTGGGAAACAGTTTGGAGTTTTTTTCCACAAGATTTAGAGATGTTAAGTCTAATGAAAAGAAGCAATTGTATTTAAATTTAGTTATATTCTCCACTCCTTTTCAGTGTGCGCAATGATTTTGATGTGCTAACCAACCGACTGATTGGCAGCCATGGCTATTGTACTCAGGTAAGGCAAGTGTGCGGTCTTGGGAATGTCACGTGCCTCTGCGTGCAGAGCTGTGAACTGACCTCTGGGAAGAGATGGCATTTCTTATTTTAAGTTCATTATATTTTTCCTTTTTCCCCATAATGTCAAGCACATTGGTATGTTGCCTTTGTTTTCAGATCCTCTGCTTTTTGACCTGGCTTTCTGGTTCACATGTGTCTGTACTCATGTGTGCGTATGCTCATACTCGTCTCATCTGCCTCTTTTGAACCCCATTGTTTGTTTTAATGCTGAGATACCACTGAGACTGCAAACTGTCTTTCCTCCTTGCCATTTCAGGTTGCATGTCCAATTGTACAGCTCCTCTGTAAGCGGTCACTGCCCAGCTAACAGAGCTGATGCTGACTGAAGCTAACTGGTGCTTCGAACTGGAGACTCTAACTTATTCTATACACACCTAAAATACATGTGGTGCTTGAAAATAAGCAGTCTGAATTGCTGTCTGACATTTAGGACCACAACTGTACATAGTCTAAATTCCTGCTCATGTCCTGTAACAAATGTCTTCCACTGGTTGGTCTGAAGAGGCATCCACTCAGTTGGAAACGCTTTGCTTTGGACACACAGATGGAATGTAGATCCCAAATTTCTGGGACATGGATTCCCCCAAAGCTGAGACATAGGCAGTTGTGTAGTCTGAATATGGTCCACAGCCATTAAATATACTGCCATTTTGGCTGCAAAAGGCAAGCTTCATGTTCTTCTCTTGTACTGTTGCTAGAGATCTTTATACTGTGGTTATGTGGTGGTTCCTCAAGAAGGTGTTGGAACATCACTGGTGGATTAGAAGTCCTAAAAACATCAGTAAGAAGCTAGAAGCATTGGGGAGTCCTTCAGCAGAAACGTAGGGCTATAAATCATAGAATCATAGAATGGTTTGGGTTGGAAGGGACCTTAGAGATCCTCTAGTTCCAACCCTCCTGCTATGGGCAGGGACACCTCCCACTAGAGGTGGAAGGTATTGTGTGCAGTATTTTTTAAATCATACATAAAGTCCAAACTGGCAATACCAGTGTTATTCATGTCTTTGGGCTTGGTAATTTGGACTATTTTTTCTACAAACAATCTTCGTATTATTTCCCCTCATGTTGTCTTGACATATGTTCTTTATTAATAGTTAGCTGGTTCCTTACTGTAGCACAGGCTGCTGCTAGATGTTTTTATTTGCTGTTACATCCTAGCTGGCCCTTGTGGGATCTTACGCTATGCAAAACATCTAGTGTCTGTATTCCTTGAACTTTATGCACACTTACATGTGCTCACACACACGAACCCCCTCTCACATGTATTTCGCCTCTGACAGAAGCGTTCTTCTAGTTCAATTGGAGAGGAAATAATCAAGAGTCTGTTATAGTAAGTATGAGTATGTTAGTGATATAGACCAGATGTGAAGCCATATGGGTGAATGTCTTACTGAATGACACTTAAGTTCATCCAGAAATTATCAGTGAGAAAAAAAATCTTGTAACAAGTCTTGTCCAACATACAAAACACATCACTAAGCACGTGCAGAAATATCAGATAATACTGTTCAGGCTTTTAATTTATGTTATGAAAGCTGCAGCTTTCACTGTAGAGAAAAAGGGACACCAACATGTTGCAATTAAAAAAAAAAAAAACACAACAGTAATATGAGAAGGTTGAGAGTTGGATGTAAGAGTAAGTTGATTATCAGCAGTTTGCCTCTGGAAAGATGAACATTGAAAACTCTGCTAATATTTCCTCATCTGACTTTGGGAGTAGACTTTCTCAAAATATCTGGAAAAATGTTATAAGCAATCCTAATCCTATACCCTAAACTTAAAACCATCACAGAAATTAAGGGTTTGATATATGTGTAGCTTTATCAATCCTGAATTAATCTTGTACTTGTGTCTGGTAGAGACAAGGTGTTTAACTACTGTTTTTCTGTTGGTTTTTTGTTGTTTTTGTTTTTACACGTCACAAACAGGAATTGGTGAACTTGCTTTTGACTGGCAAAGCTGTGTCCAATGTTTTCAACAATGTGATAGAGCTGGACTCTGGAAATGGCAATATCACCATTTTGAAAGGTATCACGAGCCGCAGTGATATTGGTTTGCTGTCTCTCTTTGAGCACTATGATGTTTGTCAGGTATGCTTTCCCTTCTTCTGATTTTTATGAAAAAGGACATAATTAAATTTAAAAATGGCTTGGAGTAAGCATAGCAGCTAAGAAATTATGGGCTTGATTCAGCTGCTCACTCAGAGGCATCTAGCACTGTTTCAGACACACCAAGGCAGAGCATGGTCTCTCTTCTGGATGGAGGTTCTGTGTCCCAACTGCCACCCCTTGGTCAATGGCTTGGGTAGTCTACAGCATCTCTAATATTACATGCCGGTGTTGTTTTCTAACTGATCTCCCGAAGTGAGAGTCAGCTTACAGAGTAATGTACTTTCTATTTAAGTGGCTACTGTGTAGATCTGTGTGCATGAACTAGGACCTGCTCAGTGCAGCCTGTGGAGTCAAAAGCTGTTCAGCTGACTACATATAATTATGTACTCTAGGATGAGCTGAAAACATTCCCCTGACTGTATTCCCTAGACCTCCACTGGTTATAGTGGAGTTGAGACATCCAGCTCACATGTGGACACCTATATCTCAAGTCATGTGCATATAGTGAACTGAATCTGGAGCTGAAACTCACTCTAGGTATTCAGTTTTCCATGAGTTTTTATGTGATGGGAAGTTTGATTGGTTGAATCCTCCACCCCATGCTCTAATGGTGGTCACATTGTATTAGCAGTAAAGAAAATAATATACAATTAAAATAGTGCACAATATAATGGGAATGTTCCCTTTGACGTGTCTTTGAAACTAATATTTTAATTGTAGTCATAGTGAACACTAAAAGATAGATTAAAAATTTCAAAGAAGTGACAGCCATTAATTTACCTCTGGAAAAACTTGTATAAGGATTTCACTAGTTCTGCATCAACAGACATTGTCCTCAAGATGGACATCTTTCCTAAAGACATGTTCTGTCTGGAACAGACTCTCTTTTGTTTGATGCAAGGATATTATTTGAAATTCTCTTGCTAGTGGTAGATGCTAGATTAGATAACTGTAATGGTCCCATCTGGATTTGCAGTCAGTGGCTATAAGAATTTGAAAGTGATTAGCAAATAATTTGTTTTTACTGATCTAATATAAACGTGTGACTGAAAGCAAAGCTTGATTTTAACTGTTTCCTGTATGGCTAAAGTCAGTTCATTTCCTATGACCGAGAAATGATATTTTTTGTTGTTTTTAATTAACACAATCCTTTACATTATTCACAAGATAAGGCTTAAGTTCAATCAAGACAGCATATCAGTGTATCCAAATCAGATTAATACAGAACAAACTGGACTAAAAATAAAGTAGCTTCTGTGTCTGGTTCAAGCTCCCTGTCCTTTTCTATAAATAAAGTAACATTTAAAACTTCAAAAGATGGTTATGCACCCCTGGAGCATTTTTTCCATTCTCTAGTGAGGAAAATGACTTCTCAGGAGCAAAATGGTAAGTGAGGTCAGGGCAGGTAAGAACTATTTCTTTCCCATCTGCCCTCTAAAAATAAAATTAAAAGTTAGCTAGCAAATTAAACACCGTCTTCCACTTATTCTGCCAACTATACAGTGGAGGGGGTCTGTTACTTTTGCTGCTGTGCTCTTGCATGGGAGCTGGACTCATGAGCAGTGATCTGTTTTCCAAGTAATCAGTTACAGAAACTCCAGACGTCGTTTCCTTTTTTTTTCAGTCTACGCTAGCTAGGCATCTGATGCAAATTGTCTTGCTTTTTATTAAGAACATCTGTAACTGCTCCGCATTTCAGTTTGTGTGTCTCAGTGCATGCTGCAATGCCAGCCTTAGGGCTAGGACAAAAATCAGATTCTGGTGGAATTTGGCCTCAAGTTTGGGGAGTTTCCCCTGTGGCTTCATCATGAGGGGCCAGATTCTGCTTTCTGTTACAGAGACAGAAGGTTAGAACAATTTAGAAAAAATAAACGTCACCGGTAGTTTGCAGTAGTGGAACTGAGAATAGCATTTCCCTCTAAGGCTTTCAAACTGACTCTTTTCTTCCTCTCGGTGTTTCGGTAAGTGAATCCAACATCCAATTACATTGTGGCTGTGAGGATGGTAACTGAAACCAGTAATGGAAAAGGACTGTCATTTCTGGTTGGGTGGTTGGTTTTTTTTTGTTTCCAGGAGTAAGAAAATCCTGAGCGTGATGTATGGTGAATCATAGTCAGAAAACTCCCTTTAGGTCATATCCAGCCAATCTCTCAGGGGATAATGCGGGATATTTTTATATCCTGTTATATAGTAGGCTTTCTTTTAAAAATCTGTACCCATGAAGTTCCTGCCTTTTTGCTCAGATGGCCATTTATAAATTGATTGTAGTGCATATAACTGTGATCTTACCTTTTTTCTCATGTCTCTACTTTTAAATATGAAGAAGTGCAAATATACATTTGCAGGTACCTGTGAATGTAGAGATTTTAATATCTACTACACAGCTTGTGCTTTGGATGTACTAATATTAAGTTTGACTGTTCATTTACTTAGTTTCCTCCGATTATCATTCTTACTTCTAATCCAGCCTGCCACCTAAACAATTCATCCCCATCCGCTAGACATTTGCAAGCTGATGTAACAGTTCCTCCCTTTTTCATCAGTACATCCTGTCCAAAGCTTGTTTTTATTGCTCTGAGTTAGACTTCTTCCAACTTACCAATGCATTTAGGAGGTAAATGCAAGATTCCAGGTTAGATACAGTAAATCCACACTGAGATTTCTATACTGTTTTATCTCCTTTGTCTAAAATGTGGGGTCTTTGTATATAATCCACAATTTCCTTGGCATGTCTCCTGAGTTGAAAATATCACAAGGGCATGAGAACTGAATTCATCCTTCTGTCAAACTTCAGTGTAGCAAATCAAACCGAAATGATCGGTCCCTTTTTCTCCAGATTGCCTGAAGAATCCCTCTGTTGCTGATCCAGTAATCTCTTTCAGTGGATCATGCTGAAGGTTTTATCTCTGCTGATTGGAACAATGTGTGCGTCATGTAGTTAGTCTGGAATTGTCAATGTCTAATCATCACTCTTAGTCCTAACATATCACCATACTCAGTATGTTTCTTGTAATGCAATGACTTGTTGCAAATTGTTTCACAATGACAGATGGATTAATTCAATCCATTTCATACGCAACCAGTTTCAAAGTGAGATTCCATATTTTAATGCAAAAATAGCTATAAGACCCATTCTGTTATTTTTCAGTAGGCAAGTTACTATTTAAGTTACATTAATTCCATGAAATCTTACACTTTTAACTAAGAAGCCTAAATTAAGATTTTAAGTTTCCTGGGATTTCTTCAGAGCTCTTAAAGCAATAGAAACTTCCAAAAGCTGGTCAGCCCCCATAAAATTGGTGCAGGTTTTCCTCTCTTTGCTGGGCTGCAGCATGCAGCTGTAGTCCCAGGCAAGCTGAGTGGTTTCTGCAGCAAGGACAAGACCTCAGAGAAAAGGAGGAGGCACAGACGTGGGCAGGACCAATTACAGAAGTTGTGAGTGAAAAAGTGGCTGCGTTTGTGTCAGAGTCTTTGGCCTAAATGCCACATGAAAGTTGCAGATGACAAAACTTTGAATGATGAAATGCTCTTTTCAAAACTTCTTGTGATGTTAAAAGTAGAAACAGATGGAAGGAGATGCTCCCTGTATTTATACCAGATCATTTAAGAGACTAACAGCAACAAAAGAGAAAAATCATCTGCACTCTCATCTGAAGAATTTAAAAGACACTGCTATTATTGTTATAATTGTTATCATTAATAATAATAAAACAATATCTAGCATTTATGTGTCATTTCCTACTAATAGATCTGTGCTTTGCAAGAGCCAAGTAGCATTACCATTTAACGGGGGGGGTAACAGATGAACAAAAGACAAAGTGCTTATCCCAGTAAGTCATCCAGTAAGCTAGTGGCTGAACTGGGAAGAGAGTACAAGTCTTCTGAATATCTCATTCTAAAGTTAGTGTGATACTGGCTGATGTATTTGGCCATGCTTCTGAAATGCTCTTGAAACCACTTTAAGTATGTGCTGTTGTACATGAAGTAATGGAAGTATTCAAGGTTGTTTGTCTCTTTTGAACCTTGACTGATTCTTCTTTGTCTTCACTGGATCTCTCCTACTTTTAACCAGTCCTGCTATTGTAGTTAAAGCTCCTATGATCTGACTTCCCAAACTCATCCTACTCTGATTCTTGACAATGTCCAAGTCCCTGCCTTAGCTGTCATCATTTCAAGAGACTGATGCTTTTTAGCTTTTGCATTTCTGAAAAGGAACAGTGAATGTGGCATTGACAAAGAAGTTGTGCTCATTTTTCCTATTTCTTTTAAAAAGAAAGAGAAATATAAATAAACAGAATTTATTCATTAAAATTCCACAGATGGGATATATTATCTTTGGTCCTTTTGATGAAACCAGCACACTCTGTGCTATAACGAGACCTACTTGAATTATTAAATTCAGCACACGTGCTCTGTCTTCTGGCACCTCACCTGTTTATTTGCCCTGTGGAACGTCCTTCCTATAACCTTCTTCGCTGGGAAATATGTCTGTGAAACAGGCGCCTTGCTCAGTCAGATGGACGGGATTCAAGCCAGGTCCTTGGTGGCATTGTGGAGGTTTAGAAAGAGGTTTTTAACCATCTCGTTTAAGAAACCAATGACAAAAATATGCATGTGCAAAATGGAAACTGATGGTTGGTTTTAGTTTTCCACTTATTTTTCAGTAATGGGTATGCGGTAGAGATTGTGCTGCGTAGATGCATTCGGCAAGGGACCCTGCTATTTATGTAAGACGTTTGTGAGTGCCACTGTGGTGAAAAACGTGATATGCACAAGTTTGACTGAAACAAGGCTGACAAGGCCGTTCCTTGTTTTGACATCTCCCTTTCTAGAGTGAAAATGAAATTTTCTTTACTGAAGTCCTATTGTCCCCCTACTTATCGTGGACAGTTCTTTTCCCAAAGGCTGGTCACTCTTGCTGTCATTGTCATCATCAATCAATTGTCATTGATTTCTTCTCAACATCCTTCCAAATAAAGTAGAATCACAGAGTTTTTGTTTAAGACAATAAGAATAACAAACCTCACATGTTTAAAAGAGTTCTGCACGCTTTGCAAACAGACAAAACAGAAAATGATAAGTATTTTCCATTTGTCTCTCTAGATTATAAACACCTGCAGTTGGTTCTGGATTTATCCCATCTAACTTTAGGTCCTTTATAGGCTGATATAGTTTCAGGTAAGAGTCCAGCCAACTCCCTTCATAGCTGATGAACAGGGGGGTCTAAATTTCAGATAATACCATCTTTTCTGTGTTTGATTTTACAGATAACCAAAGCCTAGGGGCCAACCTAAGTTAGAAGGCCTAGAAATAGATGTTGAAGACTGAAGGGGACTGAATCTTGACCTATCTGTGTCATTGCAGTGAAATAACTGTGAAAGCACTGTCGCAAGGATATCTGTTTTTACACCATTGATATTTCAGAGTTAACACTGTTGGAACACAGTTTAATATTAATGCAGTAAAGGTCATTGAAATTGTGGGGAAAAAACATTGACAGAACAAACAATAGGCTGTGGCCTGTAACTGTGAAAGCTTTGTGTGATTATCCTTTTCTCTATCACTCCTATTGGATTCGATACAACTAGCAATTACTCAGTTTGACAGAACCCAGACCTTGGTGGAATCACATGGGTCTCAGTATGGCACTGTATGATTACTTTGGAAAATTAGCGTCTGTAGCAGTTGTATTCAGGCAAACATAAAGCAAGAAATGTCTGAATATAATTGTAATTTTTTTTTTTTAAATAAAGTCCTACAAGCAAGGAAATGAAATTATATTAAATGGTAACAAAACTGGAGAATAACGCTATCAGATTAGCTGTATCCAGTGGTCCTCCTGAGCTTTGACGTAATCTCTTTTTCTTTGGAGCATAGCCACTTCACAGGAGTGATAACCTAATGTTTGTTTCTGTTCAAGGTAAAATGTGTAATGGAATCCAAGAGACACAGAATCTAAATTATATTTCTTGTTTGTTTCTTTTGGTATGCACATGGCAAAAAGATAGCTTTGTTCAATGACCAAATAAAACCTGAATAGTGAAGTACCGTATACTCATTCTAGCAGATATATTGGAACAATTGTCCAGTAATAAATATTTGTAGATTTTATTTCACCATTGTGTGAATACACACTAAAGTCAGGTATGGAAAAAGACCACCCATAGTGTTGAAAATGAGCCCTCAGAAGGTGCTTGCTTTTGAAAGGTTGGCGTTTTCCAGAGATGAGAATTGTGTCCCTGAAATTTATGACCATTCTTAAAGGATTTGTAAAGCAGAGGATTAGGGTTAGTGACGTCTCCATAGGAATTGAAAACATGCAGGATGAAAAGACACCTAATGCATTCCCCTTTTACTATTTTTTGGGGGGGGTAAAAAGCTTAATGAGAATGTTTGAAAGCAGATTTTTTTAATTACATCATTTACATTTATTACATTATTGCCTTTTAATGCATTATGATACCAGCCAGACCAGTTAAATGAGGGTATACTTTTAGTCCACTCAACAATTGATGCTTGAAGAAGGTTGCAAAGGAATCCTCACAATGCGGATTGTCCTGACTTTGTCAGTAGCAAGGTTCTACATTATATTTTGTAGAAGAAATCTAGACGTGTTCTGGGGAATGCTATGGGAGAGCCAGAAGTCCCTGGAAAGTGACTGATAGTGGGACAGAGTGGCCAGTGGTTTTGGAGAGAAGCAAACCTGCCGTGATCAGCCAACATCTGGAATGCAACGTGATGTCAAAGGCAGCAGCTGATCTTCAACTCGTGTAACTGATGTAACTAAAATGAAGGCTTCTCCCTTTTGATGCGAGATCTTGAGGATTTGACCTGCAATCTTGTTATACTCTTATTGTCTTAAAGTTCATGCCCTCGTCGTCTTCTGCAGGCATTGTAATTGGAAACTATACATATTTGGGAAATGTTCCTACAGACCGTACTCATGTGAACAATTTGTCCTGACTTCAATGGGACCGTTCATAGGAGTAAGAACTGGAGTGAATGCGTGTTTTGAAACAGTTCTGTATCTCTCTGATCTTCTTTTGTTAAATGTTGTTTGATGAAGCTTGGAAGTTACTTTAGCAGACATATGCAGGAAAAACACATTTTTGGGAGAAGACTGGCTGTTCCTTTTTGGCTTTGATTTATCTGCATACTAAAATATGCATGTTTGTGAGACTGAATCTTTTCATCTGTATCCCTCTAATTTGCCATCTTTTGTTGTATCTACGTGTTTCCCTTCTTGATAACTCCAGTTCTGAGTATTTTTGTAAGCTTTTAAATTTTTCTGTACTTTTAAGCCAAGAATTTATGTAAAAAGCAAAACTGTTGTATAAAAGGCTGCTTTAAATAGAGATTAGCAAAGTAATGAGTCAGGGAACAGTTACTTAATTAGTTAGAGACTTGTTATCTAACATCAGAAGAAATTCTCACTGGGGAATATAATAGATTTTGTATGCATATAACACTTCAGATAGCAATTCTATATCACAATAATAAAAATCCCACACACTTCTTAACACTTAGGATGCTGTTTAGACTTTTAATTAGAACAACATCAATGTTGGCTTCTGACTTTTAGTAGTATTGTGGATGACATTTGCACCTGCATGCCCAAGACAATGAATTATATCATTTTCCCTATTACCGTGCAAACCTCTTCAAAACTTCCTGAGCCTCTGAACTAGCACAGTTTCTCTGATTTGTGCACCTGTTTTAAGGAGACAGAAACTGACTTTAAATTTCTATGCACGTATATTTGCACAGTCGGTTGCTGTTCCTTGTTTTGCAGATTGTTGATATACCGCCAGTGCAACATTTGTTTAGCAAAGGATACATAAACCTGGGGAAAAAATAAAGGTGGTTATACTAAGCATCCTGCACAGTAGTGATTCTGTCTACTGTAAGAATAATCAGCAGAGCTGGAGTCAGAAACATGCCACTGAAAGCAAAAAGTTTTATTTTGATTTTTAGTTTCCCTGAGCAATTTATCAAAGATACAAAAACTAATTCAGTGGGAGGAGAAGCAGTGTTATTTTGAATTTAGAATACAGCTTTCAATACAAGAATGTTGGTAATAAAAATATCTGCTGTAGTTTGTTAAAATCCCATCTGGAAGAAATAAGGTTTCTTTGCTATATCAAGACATCTAATCACTATTTTTTACTCTATTATTTACTACTGAAGAGGCTAAAATCATTAACTGGTGCTGCTGTTGTAAAGCAGCAGCATGCAATAGGAGGATGATAAATGGCTCACAACACATTAATGTGAAGTAAAGAAAATACTACAAGATACTCCCTGACCTCAGCAGATGCAGGAAAATTCCATGATTCATTTTATATCAGCATATATTAATTTTCAAAGCTATATAGACACTCACCCTGGTATTAAAGGGTATATATTTCTGCCTTAAAATATAAATTCCATGAGAAAAAATAGATATGAACTTAAATATATTTAAAACTAGCCTCAATTTTTTGTTGGACTTGAACCTTAAAGACTATGGGGTAGAGCAGCAGAAGAAACTTATTAAACTGATAAATGGATTAATATATAGATGAAAACAATTACTCACAGATCCAAAGAATTGCTGTAGTAGCCCACATTTTAAATAGCTGGTAGTTTTAAAATAATACTTCAAATCAGTAATGAGTATGAAAATAATATATATGTTAATTTCATACAGAATATTTAGGATTTTTATAAATAAGTATACTTTCAAACTTACAAAACGATGGCAAAGGCTTAAAAAGGGCATCTGCTAAAGAAATCATTGATTTTTGTCAGCTGAGACTATTTTATTTTTATGAATAATGAATCATATAATAATTTTTTTTACATATCTGACTGTGAAGCTAGAAAAAGATGCTAAAATGAAGGGAATGTTTTATACTCTTAATCCAAGAAAAGATTTTAGGCTCAGCTTGGTTGCCCACACAGGGGTGTCTCATGTCATCTGAGATCCTATAAAGGCTCTTGCCCGGCTTCCAGGTACTGTTCCGTGAAAGCACAGATCTAGCGCAGTATTCCTGACCTAAACTCACTGTGGTTTATAGCTATTGCAGAGGACAGGGTTCCTTTTGGTTCTGATCATCTGGGATATGATCTTTTCGCTGTAAGGACACTACAGCTGGATTTTATTACCTACTAAAGGTCAGATACTTGCTTTATATGTTCCATGATTTACCAGAGCTATCCTGGTCTGCTTCATCACCAGTGTATGATGAGCCTTCATTAATGTTTGTAGACTGTAATAAATAAGCGATCTCATACATCTCATGTTTTCCACAATGAATTGTTTCTCCCCATGCCCCTCATGATGTTCTAATGTTTTGTGTCTTTCTTTCAGGTTGGTTGTTACTTGAAGACCCCTAAATACCCCATTTGGTTGGTGTGCAGTGAAAGCCACTTCAGTGTGCTTTTCTGTTTGGAAAAGGATTTACTAGATGACTGGAAAACAGAACGGAGATTTGATCTATATTATTATGACGGCTTGGCCAACCAGGAAGAAGAAATTCGGTTAACAGTTGGTACGTACAGCTCAGCAACTCTGTATTTCATCTCTGGTGGTGGCAACAGCATCACACAAGAAAGAAGAATCCAATAATACAAATAATGATGGTCTCAAGCATTAAAGATTATTTGTCTACCTGGTTCTTAATTTCCATAATTTGTTTTGGTGATTAGTTGGAGATTAGATTTCACAGGGGAATTTTGAGGATAAGCTCTTGAAAGCGTTAAAAGTGGGCATGTGCTACTTTATACAGACTGGTAAATCTTTCAGTGACACTAATTTCCAAGGAACAGATTACAATCTTGCCTATTCATGCTCCCAGGTCTATAAACCATATTTAACTAATCCCATTCTCCTTCACATCTTCTCACATCGTTTCCACAGGCAGAAAGTGTAAGTTTGCTGTTCCTCAGCCCTAAGTGGCTGTAGTAAAATGAGCAGAAAGGGTGAGGAAGCATGAAATCCTTGCCTCTAAAACCAGCTGCTTCAGAAGATGCCAGTAATCTGCTATCAAAGTCTAAAGTCTTACCTGCTTGTAAGCATACCTGGAAACAAGAGCATGGAAAAGGTCTTCTGACTTGTACACTCATTCTTTCAGGAAACCATGCCAAATTATGCAGCTGCTTTTACAGTAATTACATATTTCTCCAGATAGAAGGCATCTGGACAAGAAGTATTCTGATGCTTAGAAAGCTCCTACTTATTGCCCTATTAAGATATTCTTGACCATTAAATTCCTATTTGCTAATAATATCCTACTTATGTTTTATTAGCTTCAATATATTTATACAATCTAAAATCAAATTCCTTCTCAATCTTAAGGAGCCACTTTATTGTACTCCACTCTTTAAAAATAAGCTATCTGTATTCCTTGTTAGTACTTACATTCTGATTCTTGGACAGGATGAGTTATACATGGGTGTTGTATTTTCTAATTTTGTCCATGTGGCCAAGCTGTTTGTATGGGAGTGCTGGGGGCTTTAGCATCTCACAAGACTTGGTAGTGAATTCAATTGCCTTTCTGCCTGTTATTTGTCCTCTTATTTTAATTAAAATCCCTGACATTCTATTATAATTATCACATTATATATTATCTCAAAAAAAGTGCTCAACCTTTACAGGACTATAGTTGCCAACTGGTTCCCACAGTCTGTCGCAGATAAAAGATTCTCTGTAAGTGACACAGATTATATAGTTCAGCATAAGACTAGAGACATTTTTCTGTTGTCTTGTGCCATGTAACATACAGTCCAAAAGATGTGTCCTTATCTGTCTTTTCATCACTAATAAATCAGAAGCGTTTCCAAAATCCAGAGCTACCAAGCACTCTGAGATCCTTAGACGAGAAAATGCTCAGAGTTTGTATAATTTTTTTTCTGTCTATTTCTCCTCAAACTTGCACTGAGAAGTAGATTTTTTTTTTTTAATTTTTTTTTTTTTGGTGGCTATAGACTCTTTCACAGATGTGTCCTAGTAAATCTTTTGTTATCTGTGAAATTCTGCAAAAGGCTTTAAAATGCAAATAGTTTTGTCATTCCAGCGAAACGTTTTCCTAGTTCTGTCTGGACAGTAATCCTCTGTTAGGTCTGGAGAAAAACTGAAGTTACTTTACACCCAAAAGGTAACATGGATCATACATCTAAACCATGCATACAGTACCAGATGGAAATATTGGAATGATAAGTATTACTGGTATTTCCATTGTGGAAAAATCAAGAAGCTGTGATGGTCAGGCAGTGTTGCCTAGAGATATCAACGTGAAGTCCTGGGTGCTGCACAGCCACATCTAACCAGTGCTGGTTAGTAAAGTTGTTTGCTTTTCACTAGCATGAAGGTAAATTCCTTGAAATGGGAATCTTGTTTATAATTAGGAAGATTACAATCAAGGACACATTTCAGGAAATCTTGAAGAAATTACACTGGGCAAGAAAGACAGAAAAGCCAGAAAGAAAGACTAGAATTATGTTTTGAGGGAAATAGTGCCTCTTTATATTTGCCCTGCTTCTCATACTCCCATTTGACAAAATGTGGAAAAGAAAAAATAGGAAGGAAGAAATTTTTTACTGTGAGTGTGGTGAGACACTGGAAAGGGTTGCCCACAGAAGCTGTGGATGCCCCATCCCTGGAGGGGTTCAAGGCCAGGCTGGATGAGGCTTTGAGCAACCTGGGCTAGTGGGAGGTGTCCCTGCCCATGGCAGGGGGTTGGGACTCAATCATCTTTGAGGTCCTTTCCAGCCCTAACCATTCAGTGACTCTGATTCTAAGAAATGTTAAGTTCCTTCCTAAAAGCAGGCAATGCCTGCTAGTGAACTCAGCATACTATCCTAAATAGACGTCTTTTCCATTGGGGTCAAAATTTCTGATAGGCAGAGAAGGAAAACAAGCCTATGTATCTAAATTAATAAATTTTGTCAGCTCTTTAGGGACTGAATGGAGATTCTGGGATTTTTGTTATGTGTCACAGAGAGCACTGGTATGAAAGACGTGTTGTACTGCTCAGAGACATCCTGCTCATCCTTTCTAATGTATACAGTGACCACCTACCTATGTTAATTATGTTGTCTCCCAGTGAAGATATAGGGAAATTTTGTACAATCTGTTTTAATGAATCATTTTTGTATTGGTGCATACCTTCAACTCAGTATCCTTTTAAAGGTGTTTTCAAAAAGCAGCTGAATAATTGCTAAGAAGAAATATTGCTGCATACCTTCAACTCAGTATACTTTTAAAGGTGTTTTCAAAAAAGCAGCTGAATAATTGCTAAGAAGAATATAACTGAATTTCTCAGAAGATTCTTCCAGAGCCAGGGACACCATCCCCAGCCCCTTTGCAGATCCCACAGAAGGCAGTACAAATCAGCAGAGGTTCAGATGCTGGAGGCAGCTTCTAGGGAAAGCTCATATATTGATTATGACACTTTCTTTCAGAACATTTTTTTTTGCAGATTTATGGTGAAATTGTTCCATTGTGCAAAAGTCTTCTAGAATGGTAATTAATAAAACATCACTTCCTAGGGTTGCTGTTTAAATTATGAGTAGTATTTCTTCTCTCAGTGATTGTCTGTTCAGATTCCACTCTTCTGAACCTGTGCTCATCATTTCTCCTGAATAGTAAGTTTGTCTGTAACTGTGCTGGCACTAAGTTTCTCACTACCCTTGGCTTAGAATATAAATGAAGATATGAGAGATCATATTCATATCCTTCTTGCTGTTGTGACTCCAAGATGAAAGAGCGTAACTTCAATATTGGTTGCTCCAAATGTGTTGTATGAAACACTTTAACAGTTTGTTAGTTAATTAACTTATCTAAATGTTCCTTACATACATCCTTTAGTGATACTTTTTTTTCCTATTCCTTTGTATGAAAAATCTCCATTCTAACCTCCTGGTTGGAAGAACTCAAGTGTAAAAATGACAAAATTCAGCAAGTTGGCAATGAGTGGGAAAAGCAGCCATGCCATGTGCCTACCCTGCTACCAGAACTGTGGTCAGGACAGTGACCGTTGCTTCTCATTATAAGATCCAGAACATCAGTATCAGGAGTTCATAGAGGGGTTCAAATGCTATTTAGGCTGGAAGAGTGGGCTAAGGAGAACCTTGTGAAGTTCAGCAAGGACAAGTGTAAGGCCTTGCACCTGGGAGAACATAATCCAGGAGTGCAGCACAGGCTGGAATCTACCTGGCTAGGGGGTAGCTCTGTGGAAAGGGACCTGGGTGTCCTGGTGGACAACAAGCTCAATATGAGTGAACAGTGTTCTGCTGCAGCAAAGAAAGCCAACAGGATGCTGGGTCGCATCAACAAAGGCATCACCACCAGAGATAAAGAAGTCATTATCCCACTCTACTCAGTGCTTGTCAGGCCATACGTGGAATATTGTGGTCAGTTTTGATCCCTGCTATACAAAAAAGGTGTGAACAGGCTGGCTAGGGTCCAGACAAGGGTCACAAAGATGATCAAAGGACTGGGAAGCCTGCCATATGAGGAAAGACTGAGAAAACTGTGTTCATTCAGCCTTGAGAAAAGAAGGCTTAGGGAAGACCTTTTTAACATGTTCCCGTATTTAGAGGGTAGCTACAAAGAAGATGGAGACTCCCTTTTTACGTGGAGTCACTCACATGGAACAGATGAGGAGTAATGGGTACAAGTTACTCCTGTGGAGTTTTCGATTGGGCACAAAAGGAAAATTTTTCACAATGAGACCAAACAGCCATTGGAGTAATCTCCCCAGGGAACTGGTGGATTCCCCAACATTGGACTCTTGTAAGTTTCAGCTGGACAGGGTGCGGGCTATCTTGGGTAGACTGTGCTTTTGCCAAGAAAGGTTGGACCAGATGATCCTTAAGATCCCTTCCAACCTGGTGTTCTATGATTCTATGATTTTACTAGAGACCTCTAACGAACCGTTATATGCTCTTCGATATTAGCATAAAAGAGGCCCTTTGAAACTGAAAAGGTTCTTATTTGCCTCTAAGTTCCTGAGGACCTAGGAGAAAAATTATGGTCCTTTACGTACTTTTAAATATTTCCTACTACTCCAGCCCTAGCAGTCTGTCAGAGTTTTTTGCATTTATTTATACCCACAAGCTCAATAAGCAAGTGAGAGCCAGGTCCTCTCTGTGACAGGAGGAAGCTGGATATATCTGAGACTGGCAGCTGTGAATGTAAATGTAAGCTCAGTTGCCTCCCATCCTTTCTACATCAGTCTCACTGAAGCAGACCCATATCCTACACCCTCTCTCGGCATCATTTGTTGCTCACAACCTGCCCATTGGCTGGATGACAGACAGAAAAGAAGAAAAATAAAACCCCCTAATCTGCTGCAGTTGAAAATGTCTTACTCCAAAAACAGGAAACAGCTGAGCAGACTGACATCGAACCTGGTC